CACACACACACACACACACACACACACACACGCGCGGTTCTCTGGAGCTCTGTGTGGTGGTCCAAAGGGGGAATGTAGGGCTAATTACTTTGCTGCTGTGGGCAGATACAAATCAAGGCCAAACGGACAGAGACTTGTTAATAAGGCAAACGATGTGTCAGAGATGAGGGAAAGTCTGGGATGCGTCATTTGATTTATACTCTTGCTAACCTGCTCTTTGTGTCCTCTCATCAACAGGTACCTGTTTGTTTTGCAGCTTCGACAAGACATTTTGTCTGGCAAGTAAGTTTCTTTGTGCAAAACAGGAAAAGAATAAATAAAGGCTCCAACACACAAGTGAAGTGAAGAATGCTTTTTATTTTGTCACTTTTGCACAGACCCTAATACCAGCCACAAATACTCGTAAAAAAAACCCCGATACTTTGGACCAATACCATTTTTATGCTTGGTGATGCTCCTCTTCCAAATGTCTGTGGTTCGTGGTTTGGAGATGTAACTCAGGTGATGTCAAGACATCAGACTATTGTGTTTTTAAAGTACTGTTTAAGTAATAACTCATTAACTACTCAGTATCAGCAAGTACTCAAATGGAAGTACTTGTACTCAGCCTGAACAAAACAATTTGTGGTTACTAGAAAGTTAGGTTCACTACCCATCTTAGCTCTGCTAATGATAAATCGATAAATAGGTTACAAAATTAGGAAGCTAACTGCTAAGATGAAATTATCCTGTGTCACTAATAAACCTGTTATTGGTTTAATTTGAAGGTGGGTGGGATCATCTGTGACAAACTGGCCAATCTAAACTAGTGCTATAGCTTTGTATAACTTGTGATACTTCCAGTTTACCCCTTTCAGAATAAAAGCATTTCTCTGATTGATTTCATATCTGTAAAACTGTTTAGTCAAACAACAAATAGCAAATACTTTATCTACATAATCAATTTTTGTATTTGTTATATAAATATTGTTAAATGTTTTCTTTGTTCATTTTTTAACACTCTTAATTTGAAGTTTAGTTGCTAAAGATGCTACATGCTACACACACTGTGCCTCACACGTCCAGCACTGCTTGTAAGAGATGATAGTTTTATTTGTTTTGGGATGAATAGCAAAAAAAAAAAAAAACACTTTTAAAATTAGTGGAAGCTAATCAGTCTGCTAACAGTTTCCAAAGTTAGCAAAAAAGTTAATACCCTAAATGACAAGCTAGTAGTTCCACTATAAACAGATTAGCAGAGCTGTGCCCACCACTGAATTATATTGTGATAAATACATATATTGTCCTGACAGTGATTTTCTCATGATAAACTAATACTGACTTGCAAAAACCAACAAAACACTGTCACTCAACAAGTGCACACACAAAACAAAAACCCAACAGTTACTTGTAATTTACACACAAATTGTAGCATTACATTTCATTGTTTTATTGTATTTTTGCTCAATTGAGAATGTAATTAGTTTATTATTGATAATTAAATAATTATTTGCCCACTAATCTACTGACCTAAAAACCATAACAAAACGTTCAGGTGCTTTTCCCCACCTGTAAGGACATCCATATCCTGTCAGAAGCATCAAACATGAAATAAACACACTCACCTGCACGCAGGTCACCTTAACGGGAGGTGGGGTGTCTTGGACAGCAGCAGCTGTTTTTTTCCTCACAAACAGAACCTGGCCGCACAGATTCACACTTCAGTGTGTTACTACCGCTATCTGGGCCACGCTTCCCCGGAGCCCAGCGCTATTATAAAGATCAAGAACAGCAGAGGGTGGCTTATTTTAGGAAAAGGGTTGCTCCTTTTCTCCTCCACATGATGGCTTTTCCACACACACACATAGAGTGGAGGGCGTGGAGGGTGTCTTTCCAGCACATAAAAACACACCAGGAGCGGGACATTAATTTGAGTTTGTGTAGTGTTCTCACAGCAGCTTATCAGTGTCTGTTTTTCCTTTTTTCTTGTCAGATTAAAATGTCCGTATGACGTGTCAGTGGAACTGGCGTCGTATTGTTTACAAAGTAAGTGTTTTTTTAATACTCAATTTTGTTTAAAAGTCTAAATTTTGCCATATTTTTCACATCTTAAATATAAGTTGTTTCTTTGAAAAACACACCCTCACTATCCAAAAGTCTGATAGTTAATGTGACTTTTCATGTTAATTTGGTGTCATTAGGAAGTCATCTGTTGCAGATTGATAAATCTTTAAAGGATTTATTGTGTGAATGCTACTAAAATTCTCATTATTATTTTTGTGTTTCACTTTGTCACCTGATGTTACCATCCCTATTCTGAATGTTTTTTTTTTGCATCCTATTCTACATTTTTTGTGCTATTTCAACAATTTAAATATCAAAACAATCAGCTACGTAAGGACATTCCGGCTATGGCTTTTGGTATTTCAGCAAATTTATAGTTTTTCAGCTATTTGCTTTGTTCAGACATTTTTTTAAATGAAGGGAGCTGTCTTCAGCATTCTTAAACCCTTTAAAATGTTTATAAATCTTTACTTAAAAAAACGTCTTTCTGGGTTTGCTGTGTTTAACTACTTGTCTGAATCTCAGCTTTATCCATTTTTTATTATTTAGTTTATAAAATTAAGTTTTTTAAAACTTCTTTTTGGTAAATTTTAAAAAATAGGCATTTTAAACTACTTATTTGCTAATATTTACAGTTTTCTGCTGATTGTAGCTACATTTCTGCTCTGTTCGGCTTTTTTATATTTTTGACAAATTTTTGCCAATTTTCTACTGATTTTTTATTTTTGTTTTTAGCTACTTTCAGCAAAAGCCAGCTTTTCAATTTTAACCTGCATTAACAGTTTTGCCAATAAACCTTTTCAGCTTCTTCAGCAGCTTTCAGCTAAAACCTTGCGTTCACACTGCATTTTTGCAGGACATGAAAATTCTCTAGATATTTATTATTTATTTATTTATAGTAATTTGCATCAAAAAAGATTTTAAAAATATGATCCGCTGCAGTTTTGCTTCTAATCTCATTTTCCAAAGGTTTTCTTTGCTGCATCATGAAAGAACATCCAGTGTTTCCTGGTTTTTATTAACTGTAGCACAGATCTTGGTAGAACATAGTTCACGACGTCTACGGTTTTAGAACCGCATGTTGTATCAAAACTCAGATTATTTTCTGCATGAATGGCTCTTTTTTGCCTCTGTCCTTCACTGCCGTTAAACACCAGATTCACTGATTTAAGTTCTGTAGAATCCTGTTAATCACATTTCAACCAGGCATGTTGGTGCAGAGAAACCTGTAAACCATGCCATAGTGGGCCTTCTGGACCAGGAATGGACACTCCTACTTTAGGATGATGGCTTTCTGTTTGTACCTGAGCTGTTTGTCTTTGTCTATCTGCAGGTGAGATGGGTGACTGTGACCCCTTGGAGCACTCTCCTGAGCTGGTGTCAGAGTTTCGTTTCACTCCCAAACAGAGCGAGGCCATGGAGGCGGACATCTTCAGCAGGTGGCTGGAGCTCAGGTGAGGATGACCCATCACAGAGCAGTTTTATTTCTTTCTTTTTTTTATTCTAGAGTGGGTTTCCTAGAGTTTGTGTTTCCATACAGGCTGCTAATAGGGTAATTACGACAATACATCTGCTGTGTCCAAAGCAGCTTGCCGGAGGCCGTCCAGTGGTGGGTTTCTCCTTCTCTGAGGATGAAAGAAGTGGGGCAGAGAGCTGAAGCACAGAGCAGGGAGGGAAGTCGTTCTGCTGCCACCTGTCAGCACCAGCATTCTCAGCAGCCTCCTCTGCCTCGGCTTCCCACTATCACTAGTCTGCGTGAAGGATTATGGGATTAATCTCTGCAGGGTCTTGATTGATTCCAGGCAGTATTTAACCCAGCTGCACTCCGATTGCTCCCATCTAGGATTAGATTACACACACGTACTGTACGCCTCGCCTCACCAGGTCAGCAGAGTCACGAAAGGGGCGGTTCAGAGTCAGACAGTTCCTCGCTTAACTCTTCATTTACAGCTACCAACAAATGCCAAGAGACACGAAACAAATCTGACAGTTACAGTGTGAAGGCAGAGTTAGCACTGCATTGACTGTCAAAATGCCATCTGTACTTTTACTGTTAAAGCTCAATGTGTCCTTTTTTGTTTTACCTTCAGGGGACAGAGCCCGTCTCAGGCAGAGATTTCTTTTCTCAACAAATGCAAGTGGCTGGAACTTTACGGTGTGGACATGCACTTCGTCAAGGTGCGTGAGTGTTCACAGATCATGCGTGTTGTCGCGCAGCGAGAGGACTGAACGTATGCACCGTGGTGTCTTCAGGGCAGGGACGGAGGAGAGTATGCGCTGGGTCTCACTCCGACTGGAATCTTAGTTTTTGAAGGCTCCAACAAAATTGGGCTTTTCTTCTGGTAAGTGCAATCAAACCAAAAACAGGTTTTTGTTGGAGGAAATTTTTCAGATAAAACATATGTATATTACCTGCAGCACAGCATCAAATAAGACATCTTTCTTGTTGCACAGTTTGTTTCCATGGTGACGCAATACATTACTTAACTTCAAAGTCATCTGGGTTCAGTATGCAAATTGGTTGAATAAATTCAAGCTAAAATTGTGTTTAAATGGTTCCCAGCAGATAATCTGTAACTATTTTGTTAATAAAAATCTGGGGAAGGCAAGTAACAGCTTTTAGATCATTTTTTCTTGATATTAAAGAAAATAAAGATTTGAGAATCTTGAACATACTTTTTTTCTCTATTTTTTATATTTTGTAGTAAACTAATAAATGATTATCAATAAAAATTTGTTGTGATTAAAATGAAGTAAATGTGTTCCTTCAACAAAAGTGGTGGGCACAGTGCTGCTAACAGCTAATACCGAAGCTAACTTTTCATTTAGCAGATTTTTTGCTAACTTTGGAAATTGTTAGTGGACAAATTAACTTATATTTTGTTCTGCCAACTTTGTTTGCTAACAAAAACAACTCTCCCCTCATGTGCAGCACTGCATGCCTGCGTCATGCCTTGTGTGTGCTTGTGTGTACTCACAAGCCTTATGTGTGCTTGTGTTTACTCACAAAATAGTAAAGATGCTACAAGCATCTTTACTATTTTTGAGTCCATAGTTGTCTTCGTCCATTCAAATCCTTGTGATATGGTCAGAAAAGGTGATTTTGGCTGGGAGAAATGTGGTAAAGCACTTTGGGAGGTGAAGCTACTCAGATTTATCCTGGTAAATCAATGAGTCTGTGGCAATACAGCTTCGATTACAGATCAGGAGTTACCAGTTCGTGTTAGCTTCTACTAATTTTCATACTTGTTTAGTGGTTTATCATTTGCATAGATGATTTTGTAGCTAGCAGATTGGCAGTTAGTGAAGCTCACGTAGCTGTGCCCACCACAGCTTGTAACAAATATCTCAACAAGGTCTATTTTAATTTTTCGGTTTGTTCCTCAGGCCAAAAATCACTCGACTGGATTTCAAAAAGAGCCGCCTGACATTGATGGTGGTGGAGGATGATGAGCAGGTTCGTGTTTCCTCCATCTTTTTGAGGCAACTTTGAGACTTGAACCCTCGCCCAGAGTTTGACGGCGAGTGGATTAAATGTTTGTTAAAGGGTCGGGAGCAGGAGCACACCTTCATCTTCCAGCTGGCCAGCGCCAAGAGCTGCAAGCACCTGTGGAAGTGCGCCGTGGAGAGCCACGCCTTTTTCCGTCTGCGCCAGCCGACTGCGGGCAAGGCCAGCCGCAGCGACTTCACTCGACTCGGGTCTCGCTTCAGATTCAGGTAGAGGTGAAACTCACGTATGATTTTTTTTCTTCTTTTTTTCTCCTTCCCATTCTTGACAACTGCCGGGGCACCACTGAGGACCAATAAAACCTCACTCATGTAGTTGTGAGGCCGGCACTTGTTAGCAGCATATGGGGAATTATGTGTCACATAAAACAGATCCTTTGTATCTATGGTTACCGCGTATCTATGGTTACGTGGATCTGTTCCTATGGCGACAGAGACATTCCCCTTCATATTGTTTGTTTGTCTTGTGATTATTATCAGAGGTGGTCAAAAGCAAATTCTCGCACTTGAAGGGCACTTCCTGTTTGTGGGACCAGCTGGATCAAAGCTCGTGTTCCAGATGATGGAGCGACAAACAAACACTTCAACATGATTAATATGATTTAATTTAACATATAAGTTTGTTTTATATATTAACTCAGGGGGTCTGCAACTTTTACAACTGAAGTGTATGAATATATTAGTTTATGTTGCACTGTGGCATTAAGTGTTTGGCCAAAATAAAAGAACAAACTACTGGAACAAAGTACAAAGTACAAGAACAAACTACTTTTTATTTGCAAGAAAAATTATACAGAACTGCTTGTTTAATTCTGTACAAACTAAAATCAGTTTGTACCGAACTATTTATTTTACTCATTTGTGTAAAATGAGTTGGGGAAAAAAGTGGTTAATCTATATCCAAATTCTCAAAAATGGTGAACATTAAGACCTAAATGTCCTGAAACAAAAAGTTACGATCTATTGACTTAACTGAACTAATCAAGTGATTCAGCTTGTATCAGAGCCAACTGTATATTAGTGTATCTTTTTTTTTTCAATAGATGAGCAAAACATCAGTTCTGCTTTTGCAGAAACGTGCTTTAAATATGATGAAAAGGTTTATTTCCTGATAGATTTGGAGAGCAAATCTGGATGACCTTGTCACAGTTCTGCTGCAGTGTCCACACATAAACTGCAAAACTCTGAAGGAAAACTGCTCAAAGTACCTATTCTTGTTTATTTTAATTTAAAGATTACTCAGGTTTATGTCATGTTTGGTCAAACTTACAAAGATAAGAAGTTAAAGTGAGGCTCCTGATACTTGCTGTTTAAATTAGATACCGCATAGCGGTAACATAATGATCCCCGCACGCACAAATGCACCAGAACTCAGAAGTCTTTATTCCTAATAAATGTCATTCTACTAGGTGCATCCCAAAATCATAGTGGCTTAGTAGGGGGTCTTTTTTTATTTTTATTTTTGTGGGGGTGGGGGGGCATTGGTTGGCCTGATGGATAGCCCCTCATCAGAGCTAAACAACCAAAGAAAATCTGAAGCTCCTATGCGTAATAGTTTTTGAGCAATGACCATTTTTGTATGTCCAGATACCAGTTTTTCAGATAAATTTGGGGTCCGGGGGTGTGGGGGGCACTGATTGGTGGGCCTGATGGATAGAGCTTCATCAGAACTAAACAACAAAAGAAATCTGAAGCTCCTATGTTCAACAGTTTCTGAGTTCTAAGCAGTTTTGCATGTTCAGACACCCCTTTTTCAGATAAATTGGGGGTCCGGGGGGGAGGGGGGGCTGATTGGTGGGCCTGATGGATAGAGCTTCATCAAAGCTAAACAACAAAAGAAATCTGAAGCTCCTATGTTCAACAGTTTCTGAGTTATAAGCATTTTTGCATGTCCAGACACCCACTCTTTGAATGGAGCCCCCTCCTCAAATATGGGGTCTATCATAAAACCGCTGGCTGCACAGTGTAAATCGGACTCATCTACAGTCCTGCCAAATTTCACGTTGATCCGTGCGACCGTTTTTGTGCTAAGGTTGACCAAAAATCACTGCAAAAATTTAATAAAAAAAAAAGCTTGAAAACAATATGACTCCCGCTTACGCTTTGCGTGCGGGGGTCATAGTTATAGTTCAGTTAGGCAACAGGAAATGGGATGACAGCAATTTAAAAAATTAAGATAAAATTGAAAGTAAAACTAGATACCGCATAGCGGTAACATAATGACTCCCGCAC